CCCCCCCCAATCCCGGGCACGCGGGGCGTCAATACAGAAGATAGAAAAAGGGGAAACCAACTGCTTCAACTGGCCCTGCGACATATCTTGTCCATGCTGCTAACCTATAGGTTTAGTTTTAAGATTTTTAGCATTAATTTTATTATATATTTTAGAACATATGTATAAATTAATTCATATTTATTGAAATATTTCTTATCGAAATATTGACTTAGTTGAACTCATAAGCTATACCTTCTATCTGCCTCTCCCAACTTATGCAAAACTAAATATACAAATTGGTTGGATAGAAGGATCATACATTGGTTTCATCTTAAAAGAAAGAAGGAAAAGGACGTACAGTTTTCATAATGTTGCATTTTTCTCAATTTTTAGATTTTCTTTTTGGAAAAGTCTGCATGCTAAATTTTTCTTTAGCTTCTTTATACCTTTTTTGGGGGGTTAAAACATTGTTTCTGTTGATCATTTATGTGCAAAAGTACATATTGAATTTGACATTTAAAATTTTTACATAATCATTGAGATGAGACTACTATTGTTAGTCCTAATCAAAATTATACAAGATTTAACAAAAATTTCATGGTGGATCATTTATGATACGAGCTGGTTTGGCACTTTTGATCCTGAATGAGGGTAAATTTCATCTATCCATGTTGACGAGCCCTCTAACTTGACTGGGAAGTTCAGTAAAAGAGTTGAAGAGATGGATCGTATCACTACTATGGCTGAGACTTGTTAGCTTATCAGCATGTCTGTTCGCTTCTCTGAAACAGTGGTTGATATCAAATCATGCTCTTCAACTAAATGCTGGATCTCATTAATGATGCTTACGATCTTCCAACAGACTTTCCATTCTCTTCTAATGCAATAAGTGATTGAGTAGGGAATCAGATTCTCCCAAGGCTAGCCTATAACCATTTACAACACACCATTTGATGCCAAAAGGCATTGATGCTGCTTCTGCCAAGTTGCTAGTCCCTAGTCCCAGAGGAATAGGGTAAGAAAAAATAACTATTTCTTGATTATTTTTTTAGCAGGCCTCTACCACCACACATGCCTTGAATACAACTCCCAGCACTGTTAAGTTTAACAGTTTGGAGGGGAGGTTTGGTCCACTTGACTATTCTGAGTATCCTCTGCTCTATCACTGCTTCACACACACATATTGTTTGACAATCTTCTCCTAGTGTTGATATACCAAACTTGTTGAGAATCTGCAAAAGAGTAACATAATATTAGTTTTGATTTTGTAAAAAAGAGGGTCTAATGTTCTAAAATTTTTACTGCAACTTGATTTCCATAACTCCCAACAAATAATAAGAGAAAGTATTTTGGTAATGAGCTTAGCAATGCAATTGCAAGCCTTGAAGTTCCACCATTTGAGAAGGAGCATTTTAAGGTTCATGTTGTTATAGTCTATTTCCAGTGGACCATCAAAGAATCTCCATATCTTCGTAGTATGTTCACCTAGGCAGAAAAGATGATCAACATTCTCATTAATAGGATTTTGATTGTTATTGTTGTAATAGTGGCATAGAAGGCCAGTATCAATCCCAAATCTTGCAACTCTATCCTCTATAGACAATTTATCTTGAATAACTCAATGTAAGGAAAGAGATCTTAAAAGATACTTCTTTGTGCCATACACACTAATATATTTGTTTAATTCCTTTCTCTGCCTAAAGGTATCCCAGGCAGAACTAACTGTAAACTGTCTTGTATTGTTTGGCATCCTTATGGATTTGTCCAACTTATTCTTGTATATCTTGATGTTCAGATCCTTGATCTTCCTTTTTGTATCCTTATCTGGCTGCTCTTGAAGTTTGCTCTAGTTCCAAGTCCTATTTATGAGGACTTCATTTACTCTGATCTGGTTATGTGTATTCCTGTCAGGAAGAAGTAGATTGAGAGGACCTAGGTTGGACCAGTTGTCATATTAAAAGGATACTTCTTCTACATAAATGCTACATAATATGTTGTTATCCATCTCCTCTTTAATATCGCATAGTGTTTTCCAGCTTTGATATTCCCAGAAGTCCATTAAGCACTAGAAAGATGTTTATTCTTAAAAAAAATTCCTTTCGTGAACTCTTTCTACAGTGAGTTTGTAATTCTCATTACCTACCATTGTTTGCTTTGGAAAGTATGGCAAATGTCTGATAAACATTTGAAGTTGGAACCTTCTTTATTATAAGGATAACATAATTTGTTCCAGGAGTTTCAGTGATGTTTACCACCAGTATCTTTCCCAGACCAAAAGAACCTGGTAATATAATTTTTCAATGATATCAATCCTTTGGGAGGATTTGTTGTATCCAGAAGATGAATAGATAAGATACGTAAAACATGTTTGATCAAAATGGCTCTTCCTCTTGCAGATAAGTATTAGTCTGCCATCCTCTTATCTTATTGATAATCCCGTTGGCAATATCAGAGTAGTGAGCCACTCCCAATCACACTCAACAATGAGTGGAAGAGGTTGTTGGAAGAATAATACTCAACTATGAGTCAGGATCGATTTCCTTAGGGAGCTAAAAGTGGATGTTAGAATGTACACTTGATCTGTGTAGAAGAAATAGCTTAAATACAGTTTCAAACAAGTTGGTTTTGCAAGTTACTTCTATAAACCATACTATCAATGATTAACTAGAGAAATTAAACTAGAAATTGATTAATTATTTTTGGTTATTTTCAAATAGGTAAAAGGCCTAGGGATGTAACATTCCTAGGTATTAGCCTAATGGGTTAATTATGTTAACACTTGTTTTAGTGATCGGGGTGTATTATAGCTCTCAACTCTAAGTTACCCCACTTGATACCTCTCGGTCATAGAGTGATTTTGTCCAATTTGAATTTCTCAAGCCCAAATGGGTATCAAGCCAAATAGTTGATACGATCTCAAGTTGGATTTTTCCTATCTCTAGTTCAAACCCGTTAATTAGGCTAGTCAAATCCTTAACTAGCCCAATTTCTTGTTAGCCAAGTTTTTTTAGACTAAATCTCTCTTTCTCAAGTAAAGACCAAGTCAAAAAGGCATGAATCAATGTTTGCAACTATTAATTCTAAAATTAAAGCATTAACAAGGCTAAATAATAAACATCCAATCATAAACAAGCATTATATTAATTACCCATAAGATTTACACAATAGGATTGTGTCATAACCGTAGTTAATGTCTAGCTACTCATAGTAGAAATGGAAGAAAATAAAGAAGAAACACTATTAAAGCCATAATATAAATAAAATTCATAAACTATTATGTTTTTAACCCAAATTCATCACAAATTACCAAAGTGGTAAGCTACAATAGCTGCAGCTCAAAAAACTACCAAACTTGACCTAAAAAAGTGATTCCCGTCTATTTATAGTGGCCCAAAATTTGCTGATAAAAATACCCTTCGGGAGGTTCTGCGGCCGCACAATTCCATATGCGGTCTGCACTTTGCTCTAGTCTGCAGGTTGAGGGATTCTACAGCAGCACAATTTGATCTACGGCTGCACTACAGCTCTACGGCCGAACAATTCCATGTGCGGTCCGAACTTCTGGCAAGGCTTCAGTCTTGGTCATTTTGTACACTCTCTGAACCTTTTGAATTCTTGTCAGTGCGACCATGTTCTGCAACAACACAAAATTGTGTGCGGTCCACACTTCTCTTCAATTAACCTGTGAGCTTCAACACCAGATGTGCGACTGCAGAGAGAATTCTGCGGTCCGCGCTTTCTTCTACGGACGCAGAAATACTTGTGCAGCCCGCACCTTTAGTCTGTTGCATCCCTTATTGCCTTATGAGCTAGAACACTCTTTTTTGAGTTAGATTTATTCATTATAGTCCAAATCTTTAACATTCCTGTAATTTGCACGTTTTCATTAATTTTGGGAACATAAATCAACACTTCCGGACTAAAACTAAAATAAGAAGGTACTAATAAGTGGTCAAAATCCACACTTATCAACTCCCTCAAACTTAAGTCTTTGTTTGTCCCCGAGCAAATAGATTAGTTCTCACCTCCTCAGAGTGAAAGGTCATTTCAAAGAGTCAATGGTAAGCCATTCATACTCAGTTGGGACCAACAATTACCCACATTACTCATTCATTATCAACAAGGTGACAAATCACATATCATTTACATATAATTCTATTGTGATAATGGAGCTTTAAGAATTGACTTTACTCATCAAGGACTCTTGTTCTATCATGTAGATCATGGTGGACTCTAAACTCTTCATCTTCTACCTTCCATTTACCAAGCTTACTTCAAAATCTAGCACTCAATCTTAAGATTAATGAAAGGTTCACTCTTCTCTCACAAAAGAATGTCACAAGTACGATGTTGCGACCAAAACACTCACGCAAATGTACGCGATCTTTAAGTAATATAGTAATAAGTAAAGTATCGTTCCCACGAAGACTTATGATCAACTTATCGACTGAGGCAAACTCAAACAATTATCGATTCAAGCTAATTCATCATAAAATACATAAATAACCAATTTGCAATTTAACTAGTAATCAAACAATAATACAACGCAAAGTTACTACGCCACTTATGAAGTTTTCTTTTAACAATTAATAAAAGAGATATTCCAGGGTCATGGGCTTCCTAGAGATCATGCTACGCTTTTAGCTTAAAATTGATTTATTGAATTATCTGGGTTATTGATTATAGGGTTAATAATACCCACAAGAATCTGTCGATTTCTTACGCGCCTATTCAAGTTAAATTAATACCTATATTTCTATGGTATTAATATTAACTCAAATGCATTTACAAATCCTATTTCTCAAC